GAGACTTTGTTGTTATTCTTAGCTTCTTAGATATTCTTATTTATACTTGGATAAAAAGAAATACTGAACTGCTGGTGAACTATAAGAAGGAGAAATTCACTCTACGCCTCAAAGTCAGGTAATAAAATTATCGAGTTTTATTACCTGAAGAGTTCTGGACTAGATTATGTGAAATTAAGATATTCTAATGATTCATAGGCAGTCCAAGACTATTTGTTTTAGGTGATGATACAGACTCAGAGAGATTAAGCATCTGGTCCAGACCAGCATCGTGGAAGTAGTGGAGATGGCCAGAGCTGAAGCATTGGAAAAGATGTCAGAGAGGACTTAAAGATGAATAATTATTTTAGAAGTGGAACAAATATATTGTTTTCTCTGGGGGACACTTGGTTTGGGGTCGTGTGGTGTGAAGAGTTCTTTGTTACCTGTTTAGCTTCAGGTACAAACAACGCAAAAATCCGTGTGATGAATGTGTTCGCAGCCATTTATGAGTTCTGAACAAGAAAACGATTTTACCGAAGGATTGAAATGTCACCACTTTATGAGAGCACAACAACAACAACACACCCTCACAAACAAACTAACAAACAAATAAATAAACTCCAAAGTAAACCCTTAGTTCTACTTTCAAACTTTCCTGTTTGATGATGCTTATCTTTGGGGCTGGATCTGATCTCTGTGCTCCTCTTTTCTCTCGCGCCTCTAACTTCCTGTAGACTAATCCAACTTTCCCGCTCAAACAGCGTGCATCCCTACCTTGTTGTATCTCTCGTGTGGGACATACTGCAGGATGATAGGCTCCATGGTGAGGACGTTGGCGAACTGCACCTCGGGGATGTAGAGCGCGCACACGACGTGGGCCCAGCCTGATTGGAGGAGAGATTGGCAGCGGATCAACGATACGGCAAGACTCGGAATGACTCGAGCGGAAATGGGCGCTCGGCTATGCCCTCGGGAAGAGTGAGCGGGAACAAGGTGATATTTACCTCCGCTGTCTGTCCTCTTGAGGGCGCCATCTTTGTGGGGACACAGCTCACACCTCTGAGGAGACACGGGAGAGAGCGGAGCTTGTTGGAGTGGATATCTGTCTGACCGTGACTCCAAACGTTAGGGCAGATACAGGAAACAGTGGGTCAGTCTGTTCGATGCAGTGCTAAGCTAACATAATATAGAGGAAGTAACAGTTCAGAGGCTTTATTTTACGCCTATGACATCAGCTTTTCTGTATATTTCTGCCTCAGTTTATGGCTTTTATTGCGCTTCTTGTAATAAAATGTGTTGTCATCAAGCTTTTTAATTTATAGTTCACTTCATCTGTCGCTACTCGGCTCCACTCTGCAGGCAGCACATGTGAACCACCTCCACACACAGGAGGAGGACAGCTGATAGGTGGGCTCAAGGCTCTATTGTTGGGTCTTTACCTTTGAGCACCTTGAGGCGACTGCTGTTGTGATTTGCGGCCATATAAATAAAACTGAATTGAATTGAAAAATTAAGAGTAACATGTTGTCTTTTTTTAACAAGCTCTGCCCTTATTTGGTGTCTATATATGTAAAGAAGGA